CGTCTGGCTATGTTAGCAGGTCTTAATAAGGGCTTCCGTCTAGCTGCTCTGCAACAATAACCCAATCTGTGGAGAATCCGTTGAACAGATTTTGTGCTCATCCCAACAACTTTGGCCACTTCTTCAGTCGTTAATCTGGATCCATTTCGATGCTCCTCTTGACAGCCTTTTTTGTCCTTTCCGATGGACCCGGACGCTGCTCAGTTGTTTCCTTGCCGTGTTAAATGACGAAAAATTAGGTGTCTATTTACTTGTGACCACTCAGTGTAGATCTGGTCATGTCTTCTGTCCCTTATTTGACGTTATTGATTTACCGACCCCTTCCCATTCTGATTGATTTGGAAGTAAGTTATCTTTCAATTGCTCTGGTTCCTTTTTACTCTTCTTTTAAAAAATCCACGTGACTTTAAATTACTTGAACATGATATCCATCTGACAGGGACAGCCTTTTCTGTTAGTGTTGTACGATTTCAGTTTTCACTACCTTAACAATTAGACAGGTTTAATGCTTTGCCAACAATTGTCAGTAACAGATATTTGGTGCATTATAATGATAGTTATGACCTCAGCTGGGTTTTATTACCACGTCTTTGTGGCCTCTAAGAGGATGGGGACTAATGTTTTGTGATCAACTTTTTTTGTCTAAAATATTTCGAAAGGAGAGGTACATGGAAGCTTATCCAATTCCTATTATCAGTTTTAGGAATGATCGTTTTGAACAATCGAGATGCTTACTTTTAGATATCAGTTAATTATTATCGTAGTCTTATAAGGGACCAAATGTGAATGTTTCATGCTTTTCTCCCCATGTTATCGTAATGGGTGTTAGTGTTAATATTATATATCACAGGATTTATTTTCCATCATTATCTGGACAGTTAGCTTACATTTTATATTCTGGCAAACCGATACTTTGACAAAGTGTGACATATTTTCTAAATTGTACCACAGTTGGACTTCTTTAACACCAATACAAAATTTAATATTTAAGTGTAATGATCACTTCACTAGCATGCAGATTTGCTATACTTTATGTATTGGGAATCAATCCAGTGTATTAGCGATCGAATATTTAGGATCTTTAGATAATGTAAACAATACATCTTTCTAGGAAAAAGTTTTAATAAAAATATTGACAAAACTTACTATTCCATTAAAGAGGCGAACATGAGCTTTTTTGTGCATCAAACATGAATTTAATGCTTGAATGTTGTTCATTCAAAACATTTGTTCAAAAAATCCGTGATTAACTAATAGGTTTATTAGACAAATGAGAAATTCGTTTCACTCAAAATTCTTGGCGTTTTAAAGAGTATTTCTTTCAAAATTTAACATCAAGGACAGGGTTTTAGTGATAACATTAAACCTTATTTTTTATATCAATAGACGGAGGAAAAGTCATTCTAAGGGAATTTGAGAACTAATTAATATTCTTATACGTATACGCTTTTTAAATTTTCATTTATATTTGACGTGAAAAGTCCATCAGATTAATGATATATTTTACATGTTGATTATCTAAATAACGATACTTCACTATTTTAATATTGTTATATATATATGTGTGTGTACAATAAAGAAATTCTAAAAATACTAGCAAGACAAATACAAAGACAGTACAGTTAAATATTTCATATAAAAAAATCTGTGGCATTGTGATGAGAAATTGGTCATTTATAAAAATAAAGATGATAATAATAATATGAAGTTAAAACTGGAAACCGATATTTCGCAAAAAAACAAAAAACATTAGATATTCTTACAAGCATTCGAATTCTTCAAAATTATTGTTTGCTTGTCACTCGTAATATTACTTAAACATGCCTTAACTATAGAATATTATAAATTCTGATGTGTTTTACACTTAACATGATGGAACTGAACGATAGCGTTCTTATCTAGAACTGAAGTGATTATAAAAAATAATTATGTGCTAATAAACATAACTTTCACCAACTGGCTGCAAAAAAATATGGTATGTTCATTAAAATATTATTCAATACAATACTTGAATGTTTAGAATGAAACAGGATTTTATATATTAATAGGGCAACCATATTAAATTCCAAACGTAATTTATTGGTTTTGAGAACGTGAACGACATCCATTCTTAACGTAATTCCCGTTAATTACCATGCATTTCCTCCTGTATTGTTCGGTGAGCTTCATTCTTCCACTTTAATAGTAATACAGGCGAAGTGTTAAAACATCAGTTGTCGACCGTTCTTGAACAATATGCGAAATGGAAAAGGACCATCCATCCGAATTTATCAATTGCGTCCCTACGCAATAAGTTATGTGTTCTGGCATTATTCGTGTTGCAGAAGAACGTTTTCAGCCAGAAGACGGATACTGACGTATTAACATGATTATTTTACAGTCCAATTTACTCGTATGCTGTTGTTTGTTGTTGTTTTTAGCATAAAGCTACAGAATGCACTACTTGTGCTTTCTCTACCACGAGGAAATGAACCCCGGATTTAGCGTTCTGTCCGTGAACTTACTGGGAGATTCTTCATATGCACGTTAAAAAGAATATCCCATTTCTTTCTGAACATCTCTCGTATATTTAAAGTTACTGAAGTGTTCAACGTTTTCATCTTGTTAGTTCTATCTTAAAGAAAATTAGTTAGTCAATTATCTTACACAAGAAGAAACAAATACAAAGAGAATACAGTAAAATAAAGTACTTGAAGCTGAAATCGTCAATGAAGAGTGGGTTGTATAACAGGGAAATAAGTTGGAAAAGTCTTAAAGCCAATGGAGGGAAGAAAATTGTAAAGGGAGAGCAAGGTAAAATATTCAATTAGGCGGAGGAAGAGAGTCGTGTGATAAATAAAAGTATAAGTTAAACCGATAAGATAAGGAAGAGTAGAAAACTCAAGCAACAACAACCAAAATAGCTATATAAAGGAACAGTTCCGTTAATACTGCACATAAGAGCCCAATAAAAGGGATGCAATTGAAATATTCCAGTAGTCAGACGAATGAAAGGTGTTTTATTAGACAGAGGAAGACGGATTTGTGCCAAAGAAAGAAATAGAATCAGTTCATTAAACCGAGAAGAGAAGAGTGGCTTGGAATAAGTTGGAAAAATTGTATAGTAGATTAAGAGGAATAGTGGAGTAAAAGAAGGTATAAGACAAGAACAATCTTATAAAGAGAGGTCAGCTGAAATAGTCAAATAAACTGTGAATAAAATGATACGTAAAGTGAGCATAAATAGTGAGAATTAATCCATTATCAACAGAGTGTAGAGTAACGAGGGAATAGGAGCAGTCCAATACATAGGAAAATGTATCGTAGCACAACACAGAAAAACGAAGTAAGTATGAGTGATAAGTGGGTAAGAAAAGGAGGATAGACAGTTACAGTCCAGTATAGAGAGAAGGTAACAATGGTGTAACAAATGAAGATGGTAAGGGTGCTGCAAAAAGGAAGATAGACAAAATTAAGAAATGCTGATGAAAAGGGGCGAATTATAATATTTCATTACATAAATGAAAACCCGAATAATCCAGAACAAAATTGGTAAGGATGATATGACAGGATGTTAGATCGGAAAGTGGAGCAAATAAAATTAATATAAAAGGGGAACAGAAACAATCCCGTAGAGATATAAAGGAGTAATTTAGGAAAAAATAATTAATAAGGGAAATGTTGTAAAAGGAGATAGAAAAGTCTAGTAAGCAAGGGGGAATAATATTAGGGTTAAAAGAACAGTGATGCAAACAACAGCAAGGAAAACTCTTTAGGTCATTCATGGAGTATAACAGCAAAAACACTTGCTCTCCTAAATCAGACTTTTGTATCGTCCTCTCTGTGACTGGAACATGGAGGTAAATAATGTCCCTCTTCTTCCGATTCTTCCAAAAATTGTCCATCTTCCTTGGAAGAATCCAAGAAAGGTAGCTTCAAGATTAGGCCTTAAAAAAGATAGGGAAAAATAATTACTGGTTCAGTTGAGCTTTTCTCTAAAACAAATGGCAGTGGAAAGTAAAAATCAGCGTCATATATAATAATATAATATGGCCAGTATAGTAAAAGAACGCCCTACTGACGTAATAGCACATTAATAACCCAGTCCTTGAGCGATCTTGATTTGTATATGTCACCTTTAATTACACAAGAGATTAAAAGAACTCCACGAAGCAAAGTCACAATGATAATTGTATCATGTTTTGGATACTAACTGTCTCCTTCCAGATAATGTCGATGTAAGTTAAGGATCAATCAAAATGATAAAACAGAATTGTTTCTTCCATAATAGTTAGCAAATAAGTTACGCGAAAATTATGCTAAACTGGCATCACGCAATTGTATTTAAGGAACACGTATATTTTGTGGAACGTAATGAAATTACTTTTAATTATTGGCGTTATTTTCAAACGGTTGTAACATAAGTAAAGATAGTGTAACGATTCACCCATTTTATATGTAGTACAATGCGAATAATTTGTGTAAATCAAATCCCTGAATCGCTCACACTTAGCTTTTGCAGTGAAACTTAACAACTTAATCAAATTGGAAATCGAATCAACTGTATCGAATATTATTTAGATAAAAGTTAATATAAGCTAAAAATATTATCCTCCTGTAAGCCTTCTAACAAGAAAGCAGGCGTTAGATGTCAGGTCAAGTGACATGAATATACCGTTTAATAATTAGTAGGCAAACAACGATTTATAAGCATAATAATATGATTTATTTATAGTGGAACATACTACATGTTTCGACAGCACAATGGTCTGTCTTCTCCAGGTACGACCCGTGACTAAGCGATACAGGGAAGACTTTCGAAACGTCGTCCTCTACACTTGAGCCGCATAACTAGATCGTATAGTTTAATAGGCAGTTTCCGCCCATTTAACAGTTAACTGAATAGGAATTCCTTACTCTACAAAGGATCATTCCCAATCAGGTCCTGTCGTTTTGTTGTGTCTACTGCGTGTTAAAGTGCATCTTTAAAGCATATTACCATTAGCGTGACAAATACAACTGACATTGTGTTGCTATTATTTACGACATATAACATGTTTACGATTACCTACAGCAGTTTGAAACCGGTTCATCCCATTTTATTGTTTTGTAGTGTTGTGGGTCATTTTAGGGCCCTAATGACGTCAAATCCCTTAAAACAGAATTACTCTTTAAAGATCAACAAAATTCCACGAAGTCGAATCTATATGTTTTGTATCGTTTAACGTCAGAGGAAGTTTAAACCTGATTTTATTTACTGCTCTTATAAATAATGAAGCTTAAACGTTAAACATTGTTTAGATTTGGAGATTAAACTATATTCTAATAATCTTTTATTCTTTTGACCAACTAACTTTAACGATAAACCTTATGTTGAACGTTGATTGTAACTTTTATCAGAAATGCACGTCAAGAATAAAATCTTAATTATATCGTTAAAGTGATGTGTCAGTTTTCACTTCTCTTCCCCATATACAATTCCAAACATATCTGATTATAACAATTGTTAATGGGACGACAATAATTTTAAAATACTGCCAATATCATCGGCTGGAAGTACTATCATTAATTGGCAAAAACTTATAACTGGCGAATTTGATTGTCACCAAATCTAGTCGGCGTTTGGAGTTGACCCCCTCATTTAAACAACGAAACCCTCTATGTCTTCCACATACGTTGGAAATGCTTCTCGGGGTTAAATTACTACGATTATAAATCTAAAATTTGGTGAGATGTTACAACTACCATTGTGTGATAATCCTCTATAAGTCTTGTCACTGAATCATTCTACATATTAAAAAAACCATGTCAAGTGTAAATTTTGCTGCTTACTTCGATTTGAATTATTCAGTTTGTCCTGTACGGGGTGAAAGGTAGAATATATACTTATTTCTTCATAAATTGGTCACTAAATTTACATAAAAGTGTCAAACTGTGTGCAAAACGTCATCAATCTATATTCTTGTTCTTTTGGGAGGTCCAACCAAAAATCTTTCAAAACAATAAAAGTAAAGCAAAAACAGTTGAACTGCAAAATATTATTTCAAAAATGAAAAACACTATTTATCATACGTAAATGGGCAGATATTTTAAGCTTAACGAAAAACTATGTTTTTCTAATTACGTTTCTAACTCTAATAAACTAGCATACCAGTAGCAATTCCGCCTCCGATTGCGACTGCCAGGGTTGTGGCCAAGGCGATGAGCTGGTAAGTTGCCTGAAGACTTGCCGTTCTGCCCTGTCCAGGTTTTATTTCAATCATGTTATTTTGGATATCTTCGTGTTTGCTGGAATGGGCTGGTGGTGACATATATCCAAATATTTCGTACAAGCTAGTTAAGTTATGAAGAAAAATAAGCCCATTAAAACCGTAGAGAGAGAGAAACAAAGACTTTTCAATTTTATGAGTGTTCTTTATTGGCACTAATAACGGTACCCGCGCCTGAAATGGTATGTATTTCTTTAGTTTCTTGGGTATGGTAGGACGACGTGCACGTACGTCATTCCATGGCAGTGGCGAGAGTGAAATTAAAATCTATATACTACTAGAACTCTGAGATTGTTTGCTTACTTGTCAGGTAATTAAATACATCAAAAATGGCGCATAATATGAGAATAAAAATATAAATAAAATATGAGAAATGAGAATAGAAACAGAATAAGACAAGTTTCGTTAAAATCGGGCCACGGGTTACCGAGTTAGCGCCGTTTTCGGGTCACTTTTATCGAAATGTCCAGCATAAGTTCGCGCTCTTTACGAAACTTATTCGTTCAAATCTATTTCCCTGTCAATGTTCCCATCTTCATTAAAAGGCTTAAGATGACAAAAACAAGATCTTGAAGAATTTCTCAATAATGTGCCTTGGTTATGGTAGGTAAGGAAATGAGAAAATTTTCTCAGGCAAATTCTTCATAACCTCTGAATAGTGGGTGACCCAACGGGTCACGGGTGGTCTAGTAGCTATTAAACTCGTAAAATAAAAAGATGGAAAATTTTAGTTAATGACAGACACAGGACGCTTTATAACATAAATGTAAGTCTGCTATTTTTTAGCTTTAATACTGTGGTTTATTTCTTAAATGTTTATAAAGTAAGCAAGTTTAAGTTAAACTCTGTCAGTCTTATGTTTTACTGTTTTCTTCCAAGTTTTGTTCAAGATACGTTAGTTCATTTACCCTATTTTATATAGATTTAATGAATACTAAAAGGTATATTTTAAAATCACCAGAAATTCAGCAAAGAAAAAGAGAGTTAGTAAGGTAAAATGTGTATTTTTAGAACTCTACTATTTTGTTTGTTTTAAGCACAAAGCTACACAATGGGCTATCTGTACCCTGCTTATCGTGGGTATCGAAATCCGATTTTTAGCGTTATAAGTCTTCAGGCTTCCCGTTGAGCCACCGAAGGAGCCCCAATAAGTTAAAATAGATTCCTTTCAAGTTAAGTAAATTATTGGGCTTGCACTTTAAATAACTATAATTCTGCCCCTTTTATGGATTAGAGTTCTTGTAGAAAATACCTGATTTTTAGTGGAGACTGTCAGATCTTGTCCTTGATCATTTCAGTTAAAGCATTTGAATCACTATGAATCAGTGAACGAGAAATTAGGAAATCAAAAACTATATGAAAAAAAGTTGGCTCAAAATGCAACATTAAATAAGTACATTAAGGATAAGCAAAATGTTAGGATAGGAGTAGGGCCCTTGAATGGTGATACCAGAAGGATAATATCAGATGATTTTGGGATGAGTGGGTTATTTTATTCTACTTTTCCTTCAGTTTTTACTAATGAAGATTTAAGCAATATTCCTCAACCTGAACAGTTGGAAGATGGAAACAAGTTTGAACAAGATGACCACATTAATTCTGAGCTTTTCGGGAAGACATTAGGAAATTTAAAGGGTGATAAAGCTCCTGGGCCACAAAATATTTAATTAAGGGTTTAGAAGGAGGTCAAGGATTGGATATGTGAGCCATTTGCTACTATTTTTTGTAAATTCTTGAATAGTGTGCAAGTGCCAAAGGATTGGAAGTCAGCTAATGTCACTCCTTTTTTTCAAAGTAGTATATAAAATTGTTCCAGTAATTATAGGCCTATTAGGCTTACATCAGTGGTGGGAAAAGTTCTTGAAAGTCTGATAAAAGATGATTTACTAAATTATTTAACAAAATTTAAAATTTTGTTAGTTAGTCAACATGGTTTGGTTAGAGGAAAAACTTGCCTTAGTAATATTTTGAGATTCTTTGATGATTTTATAGATGTAGATACAGGTATGGATGTGGTATATCTGGATTTCCAGAAAACATTTGACAATGTGCCACATAAAAGGCTTTTTTAAAAGTTACCTTTGTAAACGTGGGGGATAATTTGGCGCATTGGATAGAGCGCCCTCCATTGGCATAGCGGTATGTCTGCGGACTTACAATGCTAGAAACCGGGTTTCGAGACTCGTGGTGGGCATAGCACAGATAGCCCATTGTGTAGTTTTGTGCTTAACTTCAAAGAAACAAACAAACATTGGATAGAAAAGGCTAGACAGGAAAAAGCAAATAGTTGTTATAAATGGAGGAGTTCAGTCAAACAAGATTAATGTCACGAGTGCGGTACCTTAGGGCTCAGTGTTAGAACATTTGTTATTTTATATTTACATTAATGACATAGATGAAGGAATGATCAATATAGTATTTAGATTTGTTGATGACATTAAAGTTTTGGGTGTTGCTGGCTATAAGAAGAACGCTACTACCCGACAAGTGGATTTAGATTATTTGGTGATTTAGGCGAATACATGTCAGATGTATGGTAATGCATGTGGGGTATCAAAATTTGATCATGAGTATAAATTTAATGGGAATAATCTTAATAGTGTTATAGAAGAAAAAAATATTCGTATTCTGGTTGATCAGTCTCTTAAACCATCCAAGCGATGAGCTGTTGCTAGTGGCAGCGCAAGTAGAATTTTAGGTTGTATCTACAGAAATATCGAATGTAGGTCTAAAGAGGTTATAATGTTATTGTATAGGTCATTGGCCAGGCCACTTTGGAGTATGGTATTCAGTCTTGGGCTGCTTATTTAAGAAAGGACATTGAATTGTTGGAAATGATTAAAAGGAGGGCAACTAGGATGGTAGCGGTGATTTAAAAGTTATTATACGAGGTTAGATTAAGATCTCTGAACTTGTTTTCTCTTGAAAAAAGAAGAGTTAGAGGGAACCTGGTAGAGGTGTTTAAATAGCATTGATACATCATCTTTTTTCATAAGACTAGGGGACACAAATATAAATTTTGGCAGGGTAGGAGTCATCTCTAGCTAAGACGGTTTTATTTTTTGACAGAGTGGTGTGCTTTTGGAGTGGGTTGCCTTCGGATGTAGTGGATGAAGGGAGTTTAAGGGGTAGCTTGATAAATATATAAATGATAAGGGCTGGCTTTGAGTTCTTGTTTGTTTTGTTTTGGTTTAATTTAATTTAGTCCACAAGACAGCCTAGATGGACCAAAAGATATCATATTGTCTTCTAATGTAATGTATGATAATTTCGAAAAGCTCAATTTTTGTTCTTCTAATTGGTGAAATATATTTTTATCTGTTTATTTTTCTTCCAGTTGCAAAGTTCATGATATATCTGTTTTTAAAATTCTATGAACTTATGACTGAAAATAAAGAATAATATAGAACAATAATCAACCACACTACATTTTGCTATATAAATATAGTACTATTAATAATTTAGGAAACTGAATTTAATTGCAAAAATAGGTCAAAAATTGTTTCAAGTCACGACAACTGGATTAATATTAACTTGTCATGAGAAGCAGCTATTAACTCAAATAATGAAACACACTCTATTTCATTAACTTACTTATAACCATAGGTGTCTTCTGAAGCTAGTGACGCAATAATTGCACTAACCAGAGCTCCATATATTCCCGGCATTCCGTGCACATTATTGACTCCACAGGTGTCGTGGATTCTGCAGCATTTGGCCAGAAACGGCTAAAAGTTCAATGATGAGGTCAAAAATCTTACTCATTAAATATTCTGCGGGGAACATTCACAATTTTGTACAATGTTCACAACGTTGTAGACAAAAAAAAATTAAAAAAAGCTGTTGTAAACAAAAAAGACATGTTAAGTGAGATGTTTTAAGAAGTCTTGAAAAACAGCGACAAATAAAGAAATAAAAAGGTTTAAAAAAAGAAAGATTCTAAATCCCAGGTATTGTAAATATTTATTTATTATACCCTCATAGTTTTCTTAAGTACTTGACATTCACATTAAAAAATACTCACATAATATATTGTATTATAATGTTATATTTGTCAAGCGGATCATGAGTCTTGTAACCGAGAAAAAACATTTACTTAATATATCAAACTGAAAAATTGCTATCTATATGTCTTTTTGTTAATGTTTCTAACTTAACATTTGTACATGAAACATTTCATTTCGGTTTCATATTACTCCACGCTATCTTTATTCCATAATTCTACATTTTGTTCTGCTTGTATTTTGGTAAAAGGTTTGTCGAATCAGTAAATCTGCGTACTATTAACATGTTATGACACCATAGGCACATGGTATCTTGATTAGTATAGCAATATGTTATCTTAATTCTGTGATGATTATTTCAGCCTTATTTCCATGATACTACAGTGCTAAACAACAGAGAATAATTCGAATTTATAATATTACAGCTATGACAAGACGAACTATTATTATAAAATAATGCTAATTTTTCTTCATCCTCTCACTTAATTGTATCTAGTTGCGCCTCTGACGATCAATCATAGTCATATGATCTTAAGTGTAAATGATTGATCATTCAGTCTATCCTAAATATATCGTGATTTCAACAGTCTTGTATAAATTGTGACTTTGAAGTAGATCAAAGAGTTTAACTTGCACCAAATTGTAATAAACCATGGATAGACATAAAATCAGAGATTTAATATTCATTCGCGTGGAGAGCCATTAGAAGAATGAAAGTTGATTATTCACAGCTGTTCAGACACCTGTATAAAGCAGACTACCTACCATCTGTAACACAAGCAGACATCTACTATCTGTTTATATAAAGTATATAAAGTCTGAGGATGTAAAATGATAGCTATGTCTGAGCGGTTTAAAAATATCAGTTGTAAATATTTCTATCCTGCAAAACCTCAGAGTAAAGTTGGTGTGTGAGAGAGAGTGATTAAAATATTTCATAGATTTGACGTGTATTTCCTATTTTATCTAATTTCTGTTGTCAAGTTCTTTGGTGGGAATTTTCTCAGTTTTATTATGAAATAATAAATAAGTAAAATTATTCTAGAAATTTTATAAGCAGTGCTTCAAAAAGGTTAGTCCTCTGGATATAACTTTTTCAATCTTAATGTGCACAAAATATTACATTGACTCCAAATGTATAAAAATTGTTACGAAAAGGGGCACAGACAAAGCATCTTACAATATATTCATAATCTGCCAAGCATTGCTTTTCCTTCTTACTGTGAGAAAGCGATATCCCAGAACTGAAAAGACTCCAGCTAAGCATCCAATTATCATTGCACCATACGGCTGTGTCATTAGGTTAGCTGATGTTCCTATAGCAACCCCTCCAGCTATGGCTGCGTTCTGAAGGTGGATCTGCATTCAACAGAATAGATTTGGTAATCATTATTTTAGAATTTAAAATTTTGTTTTAAGTAGCAGCTGAACTGAAATATTAGAAAACAAATGATAATAATCACATAGAAATATTAGTTTGAATATAAATGTTTAACATTCTTTTCATCAAATTCCATCTATATTGTATTTTAAAAAAAGGGTTGAATACTACAGGTTCCAAAAGGTTAATGATAACTAAATGGTAGACAACATTAAAATATGTCTAACATAAACAAAACGAACCAACAAAAGAATAATATTTTGTAAAAATCTTTAAATCTGCTATACTTTATCTTAGTTAGCAAAACGCAAAGAAACAGTCAAATTTATTTATTCCGGCACGTAACATTATTAAAGTCCTATTGCATTAAGTAGGAAAGTGGTTTCCATGTGTGTATATCCCTGTGAAAAGTTTATAAAATAAAGTGTGTATGTAACTAACAAGTAGTATTCCATATTTATGTTTTCTTTTTTAATATAAAGTATCGTATTTATTTATTGTGAGGTCATTACTATAATACTCATTTTGTTTCAAAAGTTTTCTTGTTGGTTTAGCTTGAGTCATAGGTTTTTCTCAGTACGTTTGTTTTTGCTAAGATACACGTGTAACTAGCTAATTACTTTGCAATTGAGGCGTAATTTTCACATAATGCACATCTTAAACCTGTTTACATTTTTTCAGTTCTATTTGGTTACATACTAAATTCGGTTGAGTTCTGTAATAAATTTGGACTAAAGTGTTACTTTCTATAGACTGTCCGGTGAAGGACCTCATCAGCTGTTTCATGGGATAGTTGCATCGTATCCTACTTTAAGTTGTACGTATAGAGAACTACCTTGCGACTGTCACATGGAGAAGAGATGTTTTCGCATTTTAAAAACATTTTTTCTGATTAGTCAGCTGTATTTTGAATACAGGTTTGGCGCTTTCAAAGGAAATTCGTTCTAACTTCTGGGGAAAGTAGTTCGTTCTGATAAGAGCACCAAGGCTTACTGTGGAAGTTCCATTTTTATTTCATTGTATTTCTACTTGTTGATCTGTGTGATGCATTTATTTACATTTCTTTCCTTCATGCCCCCCAGTAGCACAGCGGTATGTCTGCGGACTTACAACGCTAGAAACCGGGTTTCGATACCCGTGGTGGGCAGAGCACAGATAGCCCTTTGTGTAGCTTTGTGCTTAATTTCAAAACAAACAAACTTTCCTTCATTTATTTTATCAGTAATAGCTCTACTACTCTGATAACCACATGTGTCCTTCTTCAATAAATAAAGTGATTATTTTTATTTCAATGTCATGTCTTGTAACTTTCATTTCACCCGCAACAAACATTTTGCATATTATACCCACAAACCTCTTGTTTTCGCGGACATCGAGTGATTGTGAGCTATAATTAAACTTGAATTATCACAGATAACCACGATCGATTAAATTATGGAGCCATTGACCATGAACTGATTTAATTACCAAACTTAAGTTAAATACGAGAAGCTGCAGCAGAACTAGTGGTGCCAGAATAAAAACAAATGATTAAGAAATTCTGATACACAAGATTTATTTCCAGAATACCAAAGTTACAACATAAGCCTTGAATTTGGTAACACTGGATCAAAATTGATCAAAATGCTGCATTGAATAAAACAATATAAAAGCACAGCTATCACAACTGTTAACAAAGTTATAGCTTACCACACTTAAATATGGACCACGTTAAACATATTGTGCAACCAACCAGTTATATTTGTATCAAATAAGTTTGATATATTTAATCTTCAGATTTTTACAATTCTTATAGAGAAATGACATCTAACAGTTTATTAGTTTTATTATAAAAAAATGTGTATGTGAATGTGTGTAGGCGTTAGTTGGCAAAGCCCCAGAGGCCTGTCTATGGCGTTGCTATTAATTACTCATTCCTAGGAAATTTTAACTCATCAGGCCACCATGAAACCTAATGCATTGCTTTATCCCAACGCGAAAAATATTTATAGCTTAGATAGTTTGGAAACATATTCTACTTAGGTAAGTAAATGCATTATTTTGGAGTTAAACTGTTTCTTGAAGACCTCATTTATAGAACTCAACAATTTTAATATTCCCTTTAAGAATTAAATTGATAAGTTTTATCTTCATCATCCCGATGTGAATCAAACAGCTAGCCCTTTAAAGTAATTATTGTGTATATATATACATTACATATAAAATAAGAAGCAATATAAGAAAGTTTGGCATACTTACTTGGTAAATAAGTATTTATTAGCATAAATTTGCAACTACATAAAGAAGATACACGTCAATAGATCGAAACTGTGTCCCTCTACTTTTCACTAGAGAGAGGTCGCCTATTGGTATTCTTCATCATAACTCAATACTATTTGTTGATACTTTCATGCTTTAACCCCTTCCAGACGCTTGTTTTGTTTGTTTGTTTTTTGGAATTTCGCGCAAAGCTACACAAGGGCTATCTGCGCTAGCCGTCCCTAATTTAGCAGTGTAAGACTAGAGGGAAGGCAGCTAGTCATCACCACCCACCGCCAACTCTGGGGCTAATCTTTTACCAACGAATAACATTATAATTATAATATCACATTATAACGCCCCCACGGCTGAAAGGGCGAGCATGTTTGGTGGGATGCGGATTCGAACCCACGACCCTCAGATTGTGAGTCGAGCGCCTTATCCACCTGGCCATGCCTGGCACCTTCCAGACGCTCCTACACTATAGTGAAGGATTTCGGCTCACTTCGTTTGGTCGCAGTTTTTGCAGAGTTTAAAAAATTATAGTTACTGTTGCTGACAATAGGTAGCACAATAGTAGTATTGCAAAAGTCTTATCGGTGGCAAAACATTTCGGAAACGAGCTGGTAGGCCATCAACTGGATATCCACATAATACTCAGAGACAGGAAAACGTGGAACACCACCTTCTAGTGTTCATTGAAACCCTTCATGACTGTGTGGTTTGTAAGGAAAGGATTGCAAGCGAAGGAAGTGTGTGCAAATATAGAAATTCGCATGATGGCACACGACTGGCATATGAAGGAAATTGCCACCACATCCATTTTACGCACAGTCACTGTGGGGTATACTTGTGTCTCAATAAAGGTAGAAACTTGTACTTTATCATACACATAGACAGTATTAACTGGGAATAATCATTGGCTCTATTTGCCATAAGTACCCCAGTATACATATTCATATTATGGTATCTTACTAAGTTCAGAGTCACTGTTTTTTCTGTTACATTGGATGATAATAAAATCTAAGAATTTATATTCTGTCTGGAAAGAGTTAAACTCAGTCTCGACATCTCTGCCTAAGAAAGGGAGTTCATTCAATTTGTGTATATGTGTGAGAGAGTATGCTTCTAAAAATATTTGTGTGTTATGTCGAAGAAGCCTTAGTAAGTAATAGGTGCTAAAATAGGTACAGAAATTAAGTGACTAATGCTTGATTTGTTCTGTGATAGTATATTTAACTCCATCGTTATTTTACCAAAACTCGATATAAACAGTGTCGAGTAGCACACGCGTCATGTAGCCTTGGGGTACTAAGTATCTATTTTAATATTACTTGGTGTAAAAAGTGTCTAGTGGCACACATTTACGTCATGTAGCCTTGAGATACCAAGTATCTCTTTTAATATTACTGGATGTAAACAGTGTCTAATGGCACAAACTTGAGTCATGTAGCCTTGAGATACCAAGTATCTCTTTTAGTATTATTGGATGTAAACAGTGTCTAATGGCACAAACTTGAGTCACGTAACCTTGAAATACCAAGTATCTCTTTTAATATTACTGGGTGTAAACAGTGTCTAATGGCACAAACTTGAGTCATGTAGCCTTGAAATACCAAGTATCTCTTTTAATATTACTGGATGTAAACAGTGTCTAATGGCACAAACGTGAGTCATGTAGCCTTGAAATACCAAGTATCTCTTTTAATATTACTGGATGTAAACAGTGTCTAATGGCACAAACTTGAGTCATGTAGCCTTGAAATACCAAGTATCTCTTTTAATATTACTGCATGTAAACAGTGTCTAATGGCACAAACTTGAGTCATGTAGCCTTGAAATACCAAGTATCTCTTTTAATATTACTGGATGTAAACAGTGTCTAATGGCACAAACTTGAGTCATGTAGCCTTGAAGTACCAAGCATCTTTTTTAATATTACTCTAATTTTTCTATATATTATCTATGGTAATCCAAGTTCAATCGGATATATGGTGTATCCCTACAATTACAATGGTCTTATTTATACATAAATCTCTCCGCTGACAAAGATATATCCAAATCCCATTTTATCTAATTAATAACTTATTTTAACTGTTTAACAAAATTTCCAATGTACATGACTGTTATTTAGCGAACACACGGCCAAGTTGGAAAAATAAACCACTCTTTTTTTTTTCTTTTATTTGTTTCACCCTTGTGTACAACTTCCTTTGTTTCTCAAACTAAAAATTTTTGAATATACAACAGTAATAAAAGACTACAGTAGTTAGCATGGCACTATTGAGACGGAAGTGTGACGTCATAATTAATATACATATGTGAATGATACGCAAATTAATAATTAATGTCTAATTAATGGTTAATCAATTAAAGGCTAATTAATTAACTAGATGGAAATGTAACTACTGACTATACTGTGAAAGTTATATTTCCTATACTGTTGATGTTTCATGATGTTAAAAGGTAATTACCATGGCATCTCTTCATAAACAAATTTCATCAAAGTAGTGAACTGCCTAGAAAAGTAAAGTTCATGAGAAAATAAGGAAGTTACAGAAAATAATATTATAAATAAATAAAGTATTGCTTATGATTTAGAACAAGGAAAACTTATTGCAATCACTAATTGATATATGTTTATTAAACACATAATCAAAACTGAGAATGATGTTGTTATCTTTCCTATCTTTTTATATATAAACAGTGAGACTATTATAAATATAAACATGCAGGAGCTGTATATATGGCAGCCTGATGAGCAGCAGTAGCACAGCTACTTTCTATCATATCTACCTCTTAGAGAGCTGTGGTTATCGTGATATACTTTACAAGCTTTATGTCATTAGGGATATAGGGCATTTGGCAACATAACTAAAAATCAAACCTGGCAATTTAATTTCGTATTTTAAATTGCCAGGGATTCTATAATGGATCTGTAATGTGCATTCCTTATCTCATGTTCTACCACATTGTATAATAAAGTTATCAATCGCTAGAGTTTAACTGTTATAAATAGAAAACGAATATATTTTTATTCAAATATACTCAATGAATGTTTCAAAAATTATGCCCAGGTGTTTCAAAGTTATCTAATGCATTTGTGAATTGGATGTGAATACATGTATTATATGATCAATGAATTAGCAAATATGAAAAACTAGCATTTTAAATTAACTAAAAAGTATGAATGCTTGTGTATGAAAACTGCTTAACGTTTATAATGTGTGAATAACGATGAAATGATGATATATCAGTAGAAATTACTATACCCTGCTCTCAATTATTATTTTATAAATCAAGGTTAATCATTTCACATATTACTATAAGCTGCATAGAGATAATAACCACAGCACTGCCGTAGTAAACAAAGTACCATTATTAGTATGTTTCTTGAAAGACAGTTGGGTTAACAGATAATTTACTATTCAAATAAGATAAAGCTTAGTGGAACAATGCTTAGTAAAATAACAATTTATTCTAAACTTCTCAATTTCTACCACATGTGAGAAAAAAGATCAAACATTCATTTTCTCTATAGAAATCGAAAGAGAAACACCCTGTGGTTACTCACCATATTCAGCTTATCCTTTTCATCTACTATAGAAGCCAGGGCGAAGCTTGTTATAGTGCATGACGTGAGAGACAAGTAAGTGTTGATAACAGCTCTGTGACGATCATCTCCGAGTCCCAGAGCAGAGTTAAAACTAGGCCAGAATATCCACAAAATGATAGTACCTAAAATTCATTTCAGAAGAATAAAAAGCAACAAGTTTTGATTCAAATCACACGTGTCTTTGTCTTAACTGAACTTAAATTTTAATCTTCAAACTAATTTAGCTCAATCCTCTCCAAGTCCTAAATTAGAGATGAAAGTAAACCAGAATGTCCATAAAATTGAAATATATTTCAAGAAGAAATAAAAAACATGTTCTGATTCAAATATGATTTGTCTTTGCCTTAACTGAATTTACATTTCAGTCTTCATATAAATTCAGCTAATGGTCAGTCATATCTGATTGAATTAATTTGTTTAAATCACATGCAAAATAGAATTTGATACCAAAAGAGAAGATAAAATATGTATTTAGAACTAACATGTACTAACATGTATTTAGAACTAACTACTCTCTGAGTAACAACTTTAAAAATTATGTATTTCAAATACCACCTTAGCTATCATAATTTTCGAAAATTATTATTATTTAAATATTTCTACTTTGTTTTTTCAGTTTTTTTTCCATTCTATATGCATATTTTTAACACAGAGATTAGTTTCAGATGGAGGCCAATTCAGTGTAATGATTGCACTCAAATTCTAAAAGACTATCATGTGGTGACTTTCCACTGTACAAACTTTGGTATATCTGCTACATTCACACGAAACTGGCCTTAGTGTAATAAATATAGATATATATATACGTTCGTTTTATATGTTACTTTATACGAAAACTATTGTTGAACTCAAATATGTGTAAAGCACGAAATATTGGCTAACTAAAGTTGTCATCAGATGTAATGTAATAATAATATCCTGCAGTACGTTAACAGTTGGTATATAACATAAGTTCATTCTTACCAATCACTGCAAAAACATCGGAATGACCCATTGTTTGGTCTTTAGAGGGATCCTGAAGTTTCTTCCAGTATATTACAAAAGAAACCGCCAGACCAAAGTAGGCACCAAAGGTGTGGAGGAAAATAGAACCTCCAATATCAGTTACCTAAATAAAAAAAATCTAGTAAAGATAAATTAATCTCTTGTACTCTATTGTTGTACAATAACATAATATTTTTTAGTTACTTTGTTTTGTATATTTTTTCTATTATATGTATAAGACATTAAAAACCTGATGATGGTTAAATTAAATATATTTTACATATTCAAAACACATTTTCCAAAAATCCTCATTTATACACATTAAATTTATTGAAGTTTTTCAAGTATACCATTTTTGGATATCTGAAGAATTATCTAAACACAAGTAAAGTAACTTTATCCTTTTCCCACCGGAAAGGTACATAATAGCAGTGCTTAACTCTGATTTTCTATGCCAATCCATCTCAGGTTAACCCCCAGCTACATTGGTACAGCTAGGTAGACTGAAGCAACTAAGACAAAGCGTCTTGCTAAAGGACACAAGAACATGCCCCAGGGAAACCTCGAACCTGCAACTTTTCGATTACGAGTCCAAAGCACTAACTGCTAGGCTATGCTGTCACCAATGTCTAAACTCTACCACAAAAATTACAACTCTGCTTTTTTTTCATCAACTGGCTAAACATTCTAACAAAAACCACGTGAAAATTAAGTGAAACTATGCAAACAGTCTTCTTTTAGAGTAATGAAAACAAAGCTAGACAAACAGAAGTAATGAATTAAACTATTAATGCATCACCTTATAGATTTCAAGACCTAGGTGTTCATTGCACCCAAAGATGGTAATTTCAATCATTGTCATCACAACCAATTGAACAGGGTTGACCTTTCCCAGCAAGGCTCCATGTGAAATAAGCACTGTTGTAGAACCAAACTCAGCTTTTATAAGGCTAGAGAGAAAGTACACAGAATAATAATATGGAATTAGGTCAAAAGCATCTGAACAACATAAACTCCCTTTTAAATAGGTTCTTGATTTATAAATAACAAGAACTAACTTGAATATTTCGTTGAACTTTATCATTCTGTTCACGAAACACTTCTTTTCAAGGTTTACAAGATAAACTACAATTATTGTGTTTGGGGACTAACTGCAAGTGAGAAATACTTCGACTAGATCTAAATAGTTTACATTAGGAATTTCCCCCTTGAACCCATTACATGCGAGTCACGAAATAATCTTAAATGTCTTTTTTAAAAAACACGATATTCTCAGTCTTTGAAACACAGTATTGTTTGTTTGTTTTTGAATTTCGCGCAAAACTACACGAGGGCTATCTGTGCCTGTGTCCTTAATTTAGTAGTGTAAGACAAGAGGGATAGCAACTAGTCATCAATACCCACCACCAACTCTTGGGCTACTCTTTTACCAACGATAGTCAATCCGATTATTCATCAGTAAAAGAGTGGCCCAAGAGTAGCTTAGATTTCCAATTGAGTGATTCATACCTATTCTTCTTTCCAGTACAGAGTTTGAAAACTGAAGTCTATTTCTCGTGTTTTTCTCTCTTAGCACTGAAATTACCAACCAAATCTATTTAGTATTTTAACTGTTCTAATTTTGGTTAAATTTATGTTATGGTTTCTATCTTTGGGAAGGTTCTTTTCATTTATCAGGTGAAAATCTTGCAAAGTCCAATCCACTTACTGAAAAAGAAAACGTTTTATCTCTTCTACAGTAAGCTCTACAAGCTCACCAAACAATAGATCTACACTGCAAATAAAATTAAACAGTTACTTAATTGTTACATTTCCTTTCATATCTATGGCACAAACTGAGAACTGTCTGGCGAACACATTCGCTAACTCGGTAATTAGTACCAGACTCAATAACTAAGTAAATGACTAAATAATCAACTGATTAACTCACTAGGACTATTGTGTTTTCCTATAATCGCAATATTTTTCCTAAAATCTCTAAGAAAATTCGAGACGTTGATTGCACGTTACGTCAAATCTAGACACTCAGGAAATTTCTAGATGCCACACATCATCAGTACGTCATGCCAAAATTCCATCTAGCAAACAGTACAAAACGTCTAAATTAAAATATTATAGTTCACAGCAATATCTTATTATAGAGCTTTACGGGTGTGGATTTAAACATTGTTAACTGTAAAGATGCAATATAAGAATAATGTAACGATTTCGTGACATATATTGTTCTTTGAAGCTTCAATTTCATACTTTAATTGTTGCACTCTAGTTACTATTCCATTTTTCATGATCCAAATCAACGCTATGTCACAGTTTTCAGTGTTATGTTTGCTATATATTTCGTAATTTAAATAATATAAATTCCGTGAAAATGCCTTATCGAAATGGCAGAGATGTGGTATTTTCTTTTTACGTACATTTAATAAAAGAAATAAGATTGAAATAGTATAAGAAATTTACCTGGTTATGCCAACACGTATCTTGCCATGACGATGATGCCACAAACCCTGCATGATGATCCCCCATTGTACCGCAATGCAGGCCAAAAGAATGTTTAGTCCCAAAACTCTATATCCATATTTCTTCAAAAACGTCATCAAGAAACCAAAGCCGATAAAGACCATAACATTGATATCCTGAAAAACTAACGAAATAATCTAGTGTTTCAGAAATCCTAATTTTCAAAATAAACAAGACAGGTGCTTACTCATTTCTAGCATATCTTTGTAAAAAAAAAAAAAGCTGTTATCTTAAAGAAATTCCTATTGTTAACCCAACCTTCTTAAAAACAGATTTGCTTACAACAATTAGTACTCTTAACCAGGCCTTTATTATTTGTTTATAGAAAACATTGTTAACAAATCTTCATTTGGTAACAGTAACTATGCTTATGGTGTGAACGTCTTTTCCAAGCTGGGGAAGCATAATTGTAATCAATTGTACTTGTCATAAAACATTAGTATTAGACCTATTATACTTTTCAACATTACTTTCTTTATGTAGTCCCTTGGAGATTTTCAAGAATTAGAAGATTATATAATAACAATGTTCCAACCACACTATGTTAGCCCTATACATTACCGACGACGCTATAAAAATTTTATACATGTTTATAATACACAGTCGTTTGCATGACGTTGAAGCCTGTCTTACTGTACAAAAAAAGTATTTTTTTTTTAAACACGCGTCCCTTGAAAAACTTTTCATTTATCTAACAACAACGTTTCGAGCAATTGCTGTTCGTTAGGCTCTCTCTTACACCAAACCTACCGATTAGCAGTTGCTCGAAACGTCGTTGTTAAATATAATAAGTGTTTCTTTCTTCGACGTGTATTTTAATAAATATTTTTTTACGTGTTTGTAGTAGCTACTGCTCACAGGGTATTCGTAATGAACTATTGTACTATATATCTATAAGCATTAGTGTAAAATCGTCCATTTGCAGTTACAGAAGTGTTAAAACAACTTTGTTCTAATTAAAGCTGTATGGCTTGAGGAAGAATACAGGATTCGATTGAGGACCGCGTGGTAATAATTATAAAACTATTGTTTGCTATGAATACTATTTGTGGTTATAGTAGCGTTAAAACATCTTTGTTATAAAGCTGTATGGCTTGACGTAGAGTACCGGTATCGTCGGAATAGTTCCTACTGATATTGATCATCATAAAACTACTGTTTATCTCTATGAATAGCACATCTTTATTCAACTACTTTTAAACAATTTATCGTTACGAACCATGCATTTGTGTTTATTCAGTTATTTCAAATCATTCATCATAACGAACGCTATGAGAATTTACATCGTTTACTGTTAAACCGCTCATTGTCACAAACGTGAATACATTTATTTAGTTACTGTCAAGTCATTCATCATTGTTTCGAACACTATATATGATTATTCAGTTACAGTTAAAATGTTCCTTGTTCACGAACACAGTGTGTTCCGTTCAGTAATTTTTACATTAATCATCATTACAAAAACTATATTAGTTTACGTCACTCACTAGTGAATTGTTCTTCTAAATGTGTTTATATCACAAAAACACTATAGAATACGTAAGGACATTATCCACACTCAAGTTCTAAGCATAGAATACTTGTACCAACTGGAAAGATGTAAAACCACATCTGCAACATGTTCTTTTACAAGCGTAGAGTGTGAGTGACCAATTATTTTCATTTCATAATTCATGATGGATCAACAAACAACTGATCTGCATATAATGGATTAAGGAGATGGGATGGCTGATATTTTTAGCGTTGATTTTATTTTTAAAACTCTTTTAGCTTAGATATGCTGATTTTCAAACTATCCGAAGAGGACAAATTAAAAATAATGTGGAAAACAGTAAACTGAAATTTACATGATTTTTATCACAAAAGCTAGGCCTATTAATATCCTTTAACTGTTTTATGCAATGTAGTTACTTTTATCTTTTCTATTGTTACGAATGCGACATACACTCTTTCATCAAAATGTAGTAGTTCTTGATTAAAAAAAAAAGTATTTTCATAAACAATATGTATCACACATGTACAAAAATATTCTCATTGTTGCTTAGAATACATACTTAGATAAAAACTTTGAAACAAATAAACAGATATAAAACGTATGTTTAATAAACCCATCCAATCTGCTGAAACGTCTTATTTTTATTTTGCCCATATAGTTTTGTGAGATGTACATATACATAAAGTTATCAAAATATTAAATATGTGTAATGAACTTAATATAAAGGTTTGAATTAATATGTTGAAAACTGTGGGTGGAGGGGGGTACTTTTTTCAGTTTTTGCTAATAAAATACCTTAGTCATAAGCTTTAAGATAATTCTACTCTAACTCTGATGGAGCAGTTAGTATGCAAACCGTTCCAGTAGTGGAGTTTAGAACCAGATTTAAACTTTTACTTTAACTCATACAGATTTATCAGAGGAGCTGAAGTTTTATGTAATGAGAAGAAAAATAATTATATGTTAAACTAATGAAGTAAATACAGCATTTATTTTTATTTGAATACAAGCAGATGATTTGCATCCACCAAAATGATATACAGTCCATATTTAACTCGTTAAAAATACATTGTTTTTGATATTCCATGACACATCAAACCACAGCAAGTAAGAAAGTGAAACTTGATAGCAACCAACATTAGCTTTAGGATCGCAACCCTATTATTCGGAACAGACCTTTACTTTACAGAATCAATCAGATTCTTTAAAATATATGGTGACAGTGTTTCCTCTCTAAAACAGTGTTAATAGCTTCCTTTATAGTAACGCCATGGAATTTAGATTAACAGATTCTTGCCATTACCCCCATGTAATCAGTACAGTTGTATCAAGCATCATTATGTATACTAATTGCTTAAGCTAATATCATGTGACGTTAAACGCTCTTTAAATAGGATAATTTCATAACATTTAGTAAATTTGTTCTAAAAAGTTGACAATGAATGATCAATAATAACCGTCCACCTGTATGAATATTTTGAAAACTTAAGCTAGAATCTACTAATCTACTTTGCTTGGCCTAACCAATACTTACGTATTTGCACGTCCTTTCACTTTATAGTTCTGCTACTCTAAATCAACCGTCTCCGAATGACCAAAAACTAAAAACAATCAACTTTTACTCTTAGGTGAAGCTCTAGTAAAACATTTAAACCGATAGCTCACGTGACTTTTTGAGTAGGCGTGCGCAAAAATTTTGGTCAAGATTTAGCAGTTTTTGTTGAATAACTTTGCACATTTACTTATATTTAGACCAAATTTCACACATAATTGTAGATTATAAAAATATGTCAGTGTACCAAATTTGAAAAAAAAATCCATAAAAGTTAAGTACGTGTTCTATCAAATAAAGTAGTTTCGTACGAAGAAAAAATAGGAAGAAACCCAATCAAAATTGGAGATGTTATATCTAAGGAATTTCTTAATGGATTGCCTTGAAATTTTGTATGTGAAGTAAGAGTCCAGTAGAGTACATCCACTGAAAATATGTGATAGTTTTGATTACCATAGTCCGAGCTACAGAAGATGGTAAATATCTAAACTATCAATCTTGTTAATAACACATAGTGTGTCCTGCAGGTTTTTTTGTTTTTTTGGCCGCAAGACACACGGGATGTGTAATTTCGTGCTATTGGAGATAACAAAGATTCGTCAGTAATATGCACTCAAGTACTTTTGAAATGTGCACAATAATGAATTACCACTTAAATAAATTCGAGAATAATTTGCGAAGATTTATTGATTTATTATTAAAAGAGAAGGATATGTTTTGGCTTTTAAAAGTTTACTGAGACTTAACCGCATTTGATAAAAACGATGTTTCAAGTCGCATGCTGTCCTTGAACGTTTCCCTCCATCATTAATCGTACTCAGCTTGATGCCCTTGTTTCTACATTTTTGACCCATAAGCTTCTGTGTAATATGGTAAGATCATTCTTATACCACACGCAAAAATTCATTGGAGCTACCTATATAGCAGGTGTGTGTGTGTGTGTGGAAGATATGTGGCTGAATAAGATTAATTTGCTCCCAGCTTCTTTGGTTATATATTTCATGACAACAGCGGTTGAATTGAAAGAGAGGTTAAGCGTCTGAGGTCCGTTTAGTTTTCGAACAGGGTCCAGAAGCAGCATTATTATAATATATAAAGTATTATCTTCCAAGTAATCTAGTTTCACCTACAGATAGGTATTTATAGCGATTATTGTGTGAAAAGTCAAACTTTTTTATGTTTATTTTTTAAAAACGTTTTTTGTGGCTCTATAGAAAACTTGAGATTTAGTTCGACTTTTAAATACATTAAACACTTTTTAATGTATTGAAATATAATTAATGATAATAAATAGGACCATAAAATAATAAAAAACAGAACCACTTATCGAACGTACTATATCTTTATGAGTTTATATCTTGTGAACCTTCATTATATTACATATGGGAGAAAAAATAATCAAGTAAATCATATTAAAGTACATTAAAACGATTATTGAACATCACAACAATAGTAGAAGAATAAAAATAAGTCCTTCAAAGACCGTAATAAGACACATAGAATGAAAAATAGTAAAGCCAACAAGAAATAAAAAGCAAATTACACGAAACCACAAAGTAAATTATTTAAGATTGCATAAAACCAAAAATATAAAGGCATTAAATTAAAAATTATATTCACACAAGGCTATAAGTAACATAAACACTAAAAAAATAATAGCAATAAAGTAAATCACATTATAGTATTCAAAGTACAAAAACAAGAATAGGAAAAGAAACAAAGAAACAAAAACCTTTATATAACTGAAGTGTATGACAAGAGCATAAGCTAAAAACCATCATATATACAGGAGCACTTTTAAAAGATGTATATGTATACAATAAAATTATTCAATGATGATAAAAATAAATGACGACTTATAAAGCATTCACAATAAATAAACTAAATAAATAATACAAAAATAACGTAAAAACAAATAGATGAAAACAAGAAGGAAAATGTACATATATACAAAAGTTTCTGAGAAAACTGTGGTCACTTTTCTACTAAAGTCCCAACACCAGGCCCTCCAATGTAACAGTTTATTTGTAGCGAGCTGTGGTTGTCTAGTGATTGTTCTCTTGGGCTTTTGCAAGTG